CTTGCCCTCGGATACGCCACGCACGCGCCTGTGGCTGGCAGTCCTCGAAATTGCGACCCCCTTCCGACCAAAATGCGACCCCTTCGTTCGAACAGTTCGAACGGACGGTTGACCCTGTTTCATAGTCTGCGATCCGTGCCGTCCGCGCCGTCCGTGCGGACCGCTCGGACAGGGTGAAAAACGTCAACATGCGCTCTGGCGCACAATTGCGTACTTAGCACGCACTTGGCGCCTCCCTCGATCGATAACTCGATTTCGGTGCATTTTTCAATGTTTGTGAATATGTGATGCGATATTGATGAGAAATCACTCAGTTCCCTTACCCTGCGGCACGCGCAGACGTTATCAGCGAAAAAGCGAGCTCTAGAAAGATAGTTCATTTGAACAATCAGCAAAGCGCACTGATTAACTTACCGACTTACCGAAACATATCGACTAAGGCAAGAATGAAGAAGTCTCAACTAAAAAACATGAATGAACGCACCACATATTCACAAACATTGAAAAATGCACGAAATGCACCGAAATCGAGGTATCGATCGAGGGAGGCGCCGACTGCGTGCTAAGCACGCAATTGTGCGCCAGAGCGCGTGTTGACGTTTTTCACCCTGTCCGAGCGGTCCGCACGGACGGCGCGGACGGCACGGACGGCACGGATCGCAGACTATGAAAGCAGCCTTACGCGTCGACAGTCCAACTGACTGACCACTGAGTTAGCTCAAGTAACACGTACGTTTGGAGGCCGTCCATCCCCGACGTCCCCGACGACCCTATGCAACAAGCCCCGAAGGTCGTCGGGGATATGTCCCCGACGATCGTCGGGGCTTGTTGCATACGACTTCGGGGATATGTCCCCGACGATCGTCGGGGCTTGTTGCATACGACTTCGGGGATATGTCCCCGACGATCGTCGGGGCTTGTTGCATACGACTTCGGGGATATATCCCCGAAGACCTTCGGGGCTTGTTGCATACGGCCCCAAGGAGGCAGAGCCAGGCGAGGCATGGAAAGAAGACGGCGTTTGGCCGGCTACGTACCAGGCGACGCAATGAGAGAATCGGGTTAAAGCGCGCGATTTCGGAGAGTGGAGACAAATCGATCGATGGAATAGGATGGAGTAGAAGTGTAAGATGTGAATGCAACGAAGCAGAAGGCCAGAAAGAGCTTCTAGTGAATGCACTCCAAGAACCAAGTTTGAGCATCCCCGTCGCCAGCATTCGTGAAAGACGTCCGTGGGCAATTCGAACGCGTAGCAGCCTTTTCGAGTTTTCGAATTTCTAATCAAAACGAAAGCAATACTTCAGTTCTTTTCACTATTATCGTGGATAATGAGTCTCAAGCCAGTGATTTATGGCTGAAATAGAATCATGATTTTTCCGCGCAAGATTCCTTTAAGGCTGTCGATTGATCTTCTTCAGTGTCCGTGTCCCTACTAATACTGCGAGGCGCTTCTCAGCGCAAATTCCTCTTCTCCTGCTCCACCAATATGTCGCACTCAAAGGAGGTTCGGCTTTTGCTGTCAGAACTTCCCGAATCGTTCGTGCTAGACTGCTGCTTATTTGAGATTTGCTAGTACACTCCACCCAGTCCAGAACCCTGTGAATATGCTGGATGATCACTGTAAGGAACTAAGGGAGATCAGAAGGAACATGATGATGTCAGATCGTGTGGAGCTGTTTCGGGCTCAGAGCATACAAAATACAAACTGAATATTCTAAAATCTTCACAACTCTAGATGTCTGACAGATGTCTACAATACCGCTACTAATTTTTGTTCAATCGACGGTTTGCGACGGTCGGAAACCGTCGCAAACCGTCGGCTCGCCATAACTCTTTAAAAAATGGTTCGCTCGACCTGCAGTTTATACCATCTGATAGCTCTGCTCGAGATCTACAAGATGGTTAAATTCAATTTCTGAAAGAGCTCCATCTAGGATTGCGCCATGCACTCGACCTCCATCCCGAGAAGTAATGAATATACTTTGTATGTGATGCGCATATAAGTCCTCTATGCAGCCTGATCATCCCACAGAAACATGGATCTCAACACCCTCAGAATACGCCACGTACCCAACCGGTCCACCATATGGTGAGATTGAATGAATGTTTTTTTTTCGAATTTCACGATCTTTAATTCGTTCTAGAGCGCTAATTGGCTAACCGTGCGCTGATCAACCCATTCTTCCACTCCAAATGAGAATCTTCGAACAGTTTCCAGCAGTAGTAGTAGACCTATTATGTGACATTCCCCACATTTAGAGGAGATGATTTGCGGAAACCTGAGAAGATAGCCAGGAATCTCTCCACAGACGTAGACTCCAGTTACTTCTCTGTAAGATTGATGTAGAATATTTGGTCACGGGTAAGCGCTCCGTCCGTGGTGTGGCCCCAAACATCACTCTCCGTCATGCCCTAAAATGAAAATCAGAGTTTTTGCTCTTCCAGATGACTCTACAGAGCTGAGGGGTGCACCGTTCGATTTCCCATGAAAAATACTACCGAATGGTGTACAACTCAGGTTTCACACAAAACTTTGTTTTTCTCACTTTTTTGCTCCCCATTGCCGATCGTCCTCCCAGCCCTTGGCGCCACGTGCGATTTAGCGAGAAATTCTCTCCACCGACGTGGACTCCGGTCACTTGTCTGTAGGAAAGAGGTAGAATATTTGGTCACGGGTAAGCGCTCCGTCCGTGGTGTGGCCCCAAACATCACTCTCCGTCATGCCCTGAAATGAAAACCAGATTTTTTGGTCTTCCAGGTGGCTCTACGGAGCTGTGGTGTACACCGTTCGATTCTCCATGCAAAATGCTATCGAACGATATACATCTCAGTTCCCACTTGAAACTTTCGTTTTTCACCGTTTTCGGCCTTTTCCTTATCGCCGATCGCCTTCCTCAGCCCTGGCCACCCACGTGCTATTCACGTGCGCGGTGCGTGAGAGCTCACGTGACAGCCGATGGCCTTTCTCGGTAGCTGGCGGGCAGCCCGATCGATACACCGCTATGCGTGTCGAAAGTGCGTGGGAAAGTCACCACGCACCGCGCACGTGAATAGCACGTGGGTGGCCAGGGCTGAGGAAGGCGATCGGCGATAAGGAAAAGGCCGAAAACGGTGAAAAACGAAAGTTTCAAGTGGGAACTGAGATGTATATCGTTCGATAGCATTTTGCATGGAGAATCGAATGGTGTACACCACAGCTCCGTAGAGCCACCTGGAAGACCAAAAAATCTGGTTTTTATTTCAGGGCATGACGGAGAGCGATGTTTGAGGCCACACCAGGGAAGAAACACTCGCTCAAGCCCGAGTGTATCATCTTTTTCCAACATACAAGTAAACTTACTCTACGATAGGGAAGAGAGTTCGTCCCTCCCTTCTCGAATTTCCTCAAAACATCCCTTCGAAAATTGGGAAATGTCACAAAATGGATCTAGTGGCAGGTAAACTAGATGTTCTCCAGAAAGTGAGTTGTATACCGTTCGACAGTATTTTTTATGGGGAATTGAATGGTGCACATCTCAGTCTTCTATGTTCATCTGGAGAACCAAAAAAAATCTGATCATATCGCAAGGGCATGACGAGGTGTGATGTTTGGGGTCACACTACGGAAGGAAGACTCACCTGCCACCAAGGTTTCTATGTAATTCCTACAGACAAGTAACCGTAGTCTACGCCAGTAAAGGAAATTCGTCGCTGCCTTCACAGCTTTCTACATAACATCTGCTCTAAACATGGAACATGTCGCAAAAAATGGGGCGAGGTGTGATGTTTGGGGCCACACTACGAGAATGAATGTCATATTCGTAATCAGGGCATCGAATTACCCCAATAGGCAAAGTTTCGACGAAAAATGAAACTTTGAGATTTTGGGGCAGTAATCGTGGGATATGCCCAGGCAATAGGGGAAGGCTGAAAACGGTGAAAAACCAAAGTTTCAACTGGGGGAAGTAATGCATATCATTCGATAGCATTTTTCACGGGGAAGCTAACGGGGCACATTTCAGGTCTGCGAGTTCATCTGGAAATGCAAAAAATCTGATTTTTCCACAGGGCATGACGAGGAGGCATGTTTGGGGCCACACCACGGAAGGAACGCTTACCCGTGACCAAATATTCTACATCAATCCTACAGAGAAGTAACTGGAGTCTACGTCTGTGGAGAGATTCCTGGCTATCTTCTCAGGTTTCCGCAAATCATCTCCTCTAAATGTGGGGAATGTCACATAATAGGTCTACTACTACTGCTGGAAACTGTTCGAAGATTCTCATTTGGAGTGGAAGAATGGGTTGATCAGCGCACGGTTAGCCAATTAGCGCTCTAGAACGAATTAAAGATCGTGAAATTCGAAAAAAAACATTCATTCAATCTCACCATATGGTGGACCGGTTGGGTACGTGGCGTATTCTGAGGGTGTTGAGATCCATGTTTCTGTGGGATGATCAGGCTGCATAGGAGGACTTATATGCGCATCACATACAAAGTATATTCATTACTTCTCGGGATGGAGGTCGAGTGCATGGCGCAATCCTAGATGGAGCTCTTTCAGAAATTGAATTTAACCATCTTGTAGATCTCGAGCAGAGCTATCAGATTATCTAATCGATAATAAGAATAATCTTTCCAAAACATATTCTTTCCGATCTTGAATCATCTTTGCTACATTGGCTATGTTAGGATGCGCTCATGAATCATTTCTCCTGCCAAATTTTTGTGCGATGAATAGTTTTTTGCTACATAGACAATGTTATGGAATTGAATCATTAGTTTTCTACCGCAAACTGAATCAGAACATTTAATCAAATCCAAAATGTTTTCTTATGACTCAAGTAGCTGCTGTATATAAGCCCGACACTGGTTATCCATGATATCTTTCCGTCAACCAATAAACCTTCGCTTCATCCAATCGTCTCAACAAAATGGCGACCACCATTGATGCGAACCTGTAGTCGACAGAACCTCGACAAATTGCTCTGTACGTCCACTTCTCATCCATACGACCAGAATGGACGATTCTGCTGCGATCAGACGACAAATAGGAAAGGTCACTCGACAAGTTGCTCGATGTACAGCTGCGGTCTACGACTTATTCACTGACTATGACCTAACTCTCGACAACTTACAACTCGATGCTGTCGCCTCTGATGACCTTCCTAACTTCACAAAGGACGTCAATCTTGTTCGATCCAACCTCCTACGCTACTACGACCGACTCGAACGTCTTCATCAACAATGGCAAGCAATTATTTCTACCAATCCGACTGAAGAAGGCACTTTCAGTACATATATTGATAAATATGGAGACTACCGCCACAACCTCCAGCAAGCTGTTACAATACTCGAGAAACTGGATTCAACTGTCGACCAACTTCATCACGAATTCAAAAAAAGGGACATGCCACTCCCTGTACCTACACCTGCGACTTCTGATGCAGCATCACATGACTCGAACTACGACAACGCCAAAGCAACAGAAGCCATCTCAACGCCAACGTTCCTGCAACATCAACACATGGTCAACGTCGATCCTGCGCAGCAAAATCCACATGCTGCACCCTACCAAATGTTCAATTTCGTTGACGCATCTCTTCTCAGCAAGATCGATCTACCAACATTCTCAGGATCTATTCTCGACTTCCAAGAATTCTGGGAACGTTTTTCCATACTTGTTGGAGACAAACCAAACATCGACGATGCTACCAAATTCTCTCTCCTAAAATCTTCGCTCAGAGGAAAAGCTCTCCAGTGCATACAAGGACTGTCAATTACTTCAGCCAACTACCGCATCGCTGTTGACATCCTCAGAACGCACTTTGACGACAAAGTCACGACTCGTCATGTACTTTACACAAAACTGGCAAATTTACCACCATGCGACCAAGCTGGAAAACAACTGCAGCCGCTCTACAACCAGATGTTTGCGCTAATACGACAATTTTGTACCTACGAGGACGACAACAAAGAATATGGTCTCGGAGCCGTTCTGCTGAACAAATTTCCACGGCATATCAGAAGTAAGATCTACGACAAGACCTCCAATCAGACCAATCTTACGCCTTCTGCTCTTATTCGCATACTCACCGACATCGTCAAAAAGGAGTCAACTCTGCACGAAATGGAGCCGCAATACAACGAGTACAGCAACAACAACGTCTTCCACGTCGTCAACGATCCCAATCGAGGAACACCATCGTTTCGAACAAAGGCCACGAACAACTCGAGGAAGACAATCAGGTGCAGATTTTGTATGAAAAGTGGACATTCTCCATTCAACTGCCACGTCTATCCAACACCGAAAAGTCGAATTGAAGCAGTGAAAAAGTTACGTCTTTGCTATAACTGCTTATCAAGCCTGCACCACACGAAAAACTGCACCTCCAAAAGAACGTGCAGTTACTGCGCAAAGCGACATCATACCTCGTTATGCCTAAAGCGAGCAACTGGCCGAGCTATTCTACCCAACAATTCGACGAGGTCCAATCGAGAAGAAGAAAGAAGACCCTACCAAGGACGAACTTCACAAGATCGCTCCACGAGCCAGCCACTGACAACCCACGCACGTCGGAACGACTTCCATGCACATTTCAACGAGCAAGATAATATCGCACCGGACATAAACACCACTACGGACTCAGCCATTATTCTTCACAACGCCGATGATACGCCACGTATGAAACCGCTACTGATGTGCGCTGAGGTTCAATTATTCAATCCACTCGACACCTCAAAAGAAGTCCGTGCTACTGCTCTCCTGGATACCGGAGCATCACAATCTTACATCACCAACGAACTTGCCGAACGACTTCAACTGCCATCGTCCAACTCGCACGAGATCCACATGTACACTTTCGGGAGCAACATTCCTTTATCAATGCCTGCCAATGATCATTCAATCGGAATTCGCTGCACCAATGGCTCGGATGCTATTCTTAACGTTCAAGCTATACCGGTTCTCACGAAGAAGCTGAAACACGTCTGCATACAGAATACTGGTGAGCGAGAAAGCTTAACAATTCAAGAAGCTACTCCAAATATTCTCATTGGTATGGACTACTTTTGGGAATTGGTGTTCTGCGATGATTTCTCAATTTCGCCACTCTCCAATAGATATCGCGTGATGAGTACAAGAATTGGCAAAATTGTGACCGAAAACTCGCTCCGCTATGACCAAGTTAACTACTTCACATTCGACGATTCCACAACAACTGCCAACCCTATCAAGCATGCTGAACTGCTGAAACTCGTCGAACGTTTCTGGTCAAATGAGTCTATGGGAATACTTGACAACCCCAACGAATCCGATGATGAGAAATGCTTGCAACTGTTCAACGACTCAATCACGTACAACAAAGAAGAACGACGATATTCGGTGAAGTTACCTTTCAAAATACCACCCTCGGAGCTACCTTCAAATCGAGACTTGGCTTTCTCCAGATTTGTTTCAAATGTGAAAATGCTACAGCGGAATCCTACCTACCTACAGAAGTACCACGCGATTTTCATGGAGCAGTTAGAGAAGAACATCATCGAAGTTGCAGAGGATGACACACCACCATACGCCCACTACTTGGCACACCACGGCGTCATCTCAGAATCGAAAAAACATACCAAAGTACGATGCGTCTTCGATGGGTCGGCAAAGAAGAAAGGCTCTCCAAGCCTAAATGAACTACTTCACAAAGGACCGAACCTACTACCTGACCTTCTTGGTGTCCTTCTCAGAATACGAACAATGCCGATACTCATATCAGGAGACATAGAGAAAGCATTCCTAATGGTGGAGCTTCAGAAAGAGAGTCGCGATTTCACACGCTTCTTCTGGCTACGTGATCCATCGAAAGGAATAACACGTTCCAACACCATCGTGTATCGTTTCCGCAGAGTACCTTTTGGACTCATATGTTCACCGTTCCTACTTGCGGGAACTATCCATTTTCATCTTTCGAACACCAATACGCCTCTGTCGCGGAAAATACTACGGAACACATATGTGGACAACGTCTTTTACGGCGTCAACTCAGTGCAAGAAGGACAACAATTCTACGAGGACTCGAAAACACTATTTCGCGATGCAGGAATGAATCTAAGAGACTACGTCAGCAATAATCATCAGTTGAATCAGTTCATCAAGGAAAAGGAAGACTCCAAAATTGATGAACGAAGCAAAATACTCGGCATAACGTGGAACACCACCTCGGACGAACTGGAACTCGGATTTCCCAATATAGACGAGGACAAATCTACTACATGGACAAAAAGAAGAGTTCTTCAGAAGGTTGCAAGCATATACGACCCATTCGGTTGGTTGACTCCCATTACTTTAACGGGTAAAATTTTCATTCAGAAACTATGGAATGAAAACTTGACATGGGATCAAATACTGCCTCACGATCTCCACGAGGAATGGAAAAAGATAATCGAATCATGGACAGCTACACACCTCACACTACCACGTCCACTCACAAGTAAGACATCAAGCGATGTGAAGTACGACATCCATGTTTTTACTGATGCCTCGCAGTGTGGATATGCTGCTTCATCTTACCTCGTGAAGAAGGTTGAAGGCCATCCAGAAAGTTCATCGTTTCTGGTTTCCAAATCTCGCTTAGCTCCTAAGAAACCTCTGATGACAATACCTAAATTAGAGCTTTCGGCACTAGTTCTCGGAGCAAATCTTCTTCAATATCTGCGACTTCATTTGGACATCCCAATCGACCGATTCTTTTTATGGTCAGACAGCAGAGTTGCTCTAGCTTGGACACAATCTGAGAAGGATCTGCCAGTATTCATACGTAATCGTGTCCGAACCATAAAGAACAAAACACAAGGAGTATCCATCCGCCACGTTCCTGGTTCAATGAATCCGGCAGATCTAGCCAGTCGTGGAGCAACTATGGAAAATTTGACATCAAACAATCTCTGGTGGAATGGACCAGACTACCTACTGAAAGACGACAACTCATGGCCCGCTGATGAGAATGACTTGATTTCGAAAGTACAACAACTATGCTGCACTTCAATCAGGCATGAACCTGAAATCACTCCAATAATCGATTCCGGAAGGTTCAGCAAATGGACACGTATATTGGGCTGCGTAATCACCATCCTCACATTTCTTACACAACTGTCTTCAAAAGCTGCTCAACATTTCGGAGACACGCCATCAAAACTACGATCCAAGGCTACAACTATTCTCTTCCGAATGGCACAGATGGAAGCTCCACCAAATAAGGGTCTCCACAAACAACTTGGCCTCTTCAAGTGTAAGAAAAGTGAACTCCTCCGTGTTTATACAAGAATAGACAATTCTGCCCTACCACCGGAAACGAAAGAACCAATTTTACTTCCGAAGGAAAGTAATATCACGGCACTCTTCATTCTCTACGTTCACGAAAAGAATAATCACTGCGGCACAGAACAAACGCTTATCGCTCTCCGTCACTGCGTTTGGATACCGAAAGGACGATCAACCATCAAACGTGTCATCAATAATCGATGCTTCATCTGCAAACGATCAAAGGCAAGACCTTTCAAATTGCCAGATTTCCCATTACATCCATCATATCGAGTGAACAAACCCAACTACCCCTTCGAAAATGCTGCACTGGATGTTATGGGACCAATTAGATACTCATCTCCTGGAGAAGAACCTGGAAAATGCTGGATTTTGCTAATAACATGCCTCAATTGCCGCGCTATCGTAGTCGAGCCGATCCAAAGCTTATCCTCAACTACATTTCTTCATAATCTCCGACGCTTCATCGCCACATACGGTTGCCCAAAACGAATCATGTGCGACAACGCTCCCGCATTCAAAGCTTTTGCTCAAGCACATGGAGAAGAACCATTACGCGAAGTACGTCACGAAGGATCTAAAGGATTACTGCGCAGCAAATAAAATTCAGTTCAAATTCATACCGGCTTTCAGCCCATGGCAAGGCGGAGTCTACGAAAGAATGGTGGGCATCTTCAAAAAAGCTTTCAAAACCGCTGTGGGAAATCGCGCCTTACCTCTAGAGACTCTTCGGACTCTTATCAAAGAATGTGAAGCAATATGCAACTCAAGACCTCTCACATACGTGAATGATCAGGCGGATTTCATACCTCTGAGACCAGTCGACTTTATACGTCCCACGGCGCACTTATCTAACACCCCACCTGCTCAATGAAGACGAGAATGGAAGCCACAATACACTACAAGAGATACTCTGATGCAAGACTGGATATTCGGACTCCATCTCCTCAATAACTTCTGGACTAGATGGAAAGATGAATACCTCACCTGTCCTCCGGGAGCGTCACCAAAATTCCCATCCACATCCAAGATCGTGTTTATATGACACTCCAACTCACGGAGAGTACGTACTGATTCACGACGAAAACCATCCCAGAGGGACGTGGAAAATGGGACAAGTTTGCGGATCAACTGATGACTATCTACGGTCAGCTCAAATACGTCTACCATCAAAACGAATAATAACTCGACCAATCAACCTCATCAGTCGCTTCGAAATCGACACCAAACCAATCAGCACAGTTCAAACACCTACCGTTGCTGAAGAAAGAGAAGAGGAAAATGCACCACCTCTGCATCCTATGATAACGCGTTCTCGAAGAAAACGACAGCTGCTCCAAAATGCACCAGTGATCTTCATGATACTTGCAGCTTTAGTAGCTGTTATGGATGCTGCTAACACACGATGCCCGACTGAGCTCACAATCAATAAGAGAATCATCTACGCAACTCCATGCGTCACAAACGGCATTGCGGTGGCAACGTACGACGATCATGAAAAACATCATCTATGCTGGTTCCCAGTCACGTGTCCAAATGGAGAAATACGACCAATGCCCTCCTATCCAAATGATTCACGTCTTTGTGGAATGAAATGCGAGTGTCCTCATTGGTCACAGTTCTGCTTGCACTATAACGGAGAACATACACAAAGATCGCAAATATCCAGCATCGATCCAACACTTCTTGACTTCACACCAAAAGAAGTGTGTTCCTTCGGAGAAACTCCGAATGTGCAGTCATAGAAAGAAAATTGGAACTTTCAATCAAATTGAGCTGTATGATGGATCACTACTTTTAGTACCCAGTCTTCATGTCATAACAAAAGATTACTTGGATGACAACGACTTCATATGCATTAGTTCGCAAGGAAACCGATTACCTCCAACACCGCCATATAAGGGAACGTTTCTGTTCTGCGAACGACATCAATGCGACTTCGCCGTCGACAAATTCTGCGTCTATGACTCACCAATTACGCTGCTCGACTTCGACAACAATGTGACATCACACAACACGGTTCCGATCAAAGCATGGGGAACGACGACAAAGGAGTTTTATCCTCACATCTCGGGAACTGATGCCGAAATCATTTCTCTCATGCCAAACTGCTCAAAAGGTGGAGTCAGAATCATCGTAGATCGACAAATAAGTGTAGTGGAAGCATGCATACAGTCTTACTGTATCTTCGCCTTCAACATCACAACTACGGATCTACTGTTTCCAACGGAACTGGTTGTCTTCAAGTATACCATCATAATCAACGCTTGGAAGAATGGACTGCACCTCTACAACTCATCCATTACATGCCCATCCCATCCGATTTGCGAAATACTTCATTGCAACATCTGCATAGAGAAAGCTTACAACACACAATGCTGGACCACTTTCGACACCACGCTCATTATATTACTGGCTACCGTGACGATATCCCTTTATTGGATCTTCGCTCCAATTATCTATGTCCCTCAAAAAACTCATGGGACTGCAACTCATTCTTTTCAAATATATGGTAAACCGCCTATGCAAGCTAAGAAGTGGTAGAAGAAATAGAGAAGCAGATTCCATTCCATCACATCATCGCATCTACAACCGACGAAAGCCTACACCATCACATCGTGCTCATTCCTATCGAATCTCTCCCAGCACAGTTGCACTGACCATTCTGGCATGCACGGCACACGACGTGATTTGTTGTTCTGATGTCATTTCAATAACGAGTTCAACGGAATCATGCATCACGAAGAACTTAACGAGCACATGCACCTTTCAATACAGGCACAACGATAGCCCTTCAACCACTCGGACAGGAGGTGTGCCTCTCCTTGAAAAATCAGAGAAACGAACCAATTGGCCTTATTTCACTTCGGATGCTCAGCATACGCCACGTATGTCAACGAAAGGTTGAGTTCTTTACAAGAGATCATGAGATTACCACCGAATCCGTCCACAGATGCTACAGAATGGGAAGCTGTAAGCGAGATAAATGCGACAACACAAAATCGTCTGACATCGTCGAGGAATTCAGTTGGAAAGCAGCGAATTCGCCAGGATTCACATTCTGCAATCCAAGCTGTGGATGTTTACTTACATGCGGATGTCTCTCCTGCCAGCCCTCATGTTTATTCTACAGATACTATGCAACGCCAACATCGGAAACTATTTATACCGTGTTTACTTGCCCATCATGGGAACTAACCGTAACAGCTGAGATAACGCTGCAACTACAACAAGAAAGAAAGACGTTCACGATGCTTCTGCGTCCCGGAAGAGCCACTAGAACAGGTGATATAACATTATCACTTCTGTCAACCATTTCACCCCAACTTCCAATCCTCGCGTCAGCTTTTATCACTGATGGGACAAGAACTGCGATGACGATGAAGGTTCAAGCCAATGAACTGACGCCAGCAACGCCGGCACAACTTCAGTGTGCATCCAAATTAGATGCTTCCCAATTCCTCTGCCGTTTTTCTTCGAGAGCATGCAGCTGTTCTGCCGGATCCTACAAAGCAACATGCACATGCCCAAAAGGACATATTTCACCATACCTGTCTCGGAATACCCTTCCACTAATCACCAAAAATGTCATCATCGAACAACATGATGACACCATAGCTGCCCACACCCGCGTCGGATCGGCCATCTTTCTACAACTCACCATGGAAAACGTCAAGATAGTTTCTGTACAGAACAAAGGACAATGTTCCATAACGAGTTCGAGTATTGAAGGATGCTATTCGTGTCTGCTAGGAGCCAAAGTTTCCATCATATGCTACTCCACCGAAGAACAAACGACTGCTGACATCACTTGCGAACAAGAGCAACAAGTCGCCATCTGCACCAAGACTGGAAAGCTAAACGAAATGATATTTCACTTTCGCTCACCGGAAATCGCAACGAAGTGCACCGTCTCTTGCCCCGGAGGGCTATCCAGCTTCCAAGTAGAAGGCGCACTTGACTACGTAAACGATGCACAAATCCAAGACGAAATCTCCACCAAAAACGAGGAAAGGATCGACCACAATGAGAATGCGCTCAGTACAGTAACCGGATGGATATATTCGCTCCCGGATACAATCACTGGGTTTTTCCTCGATCTGAACCTATTTACATCGATCAAGATATTCTTGACTTGTATCATCTTAATCATTTTGCTATACTGCATTGTTTTCGTGACATCTATCCTTTCTAGGGCTAAGAAGCAAATCTAGTTTGGCCGGGAATTTATCTGATCGATAATAAGAATAATCTTTCCAAAACATATTCTTTCCGATCTTGAATCATCTTTGCTACATTGGCTATGTTAGGATGCGCTCATGAATCATTTCTCCTGCCAAATTTTTGTGCGATGAATAGTTTTTTGCTACATAGACAATGTTATGGAATTGAATCATTAGTTTTCTACCGCAAACTGAATCAGAACATTTAATCAAATCCAAAATGTTTTCTTATGACTCAAGTAGCTGCTGTATATAAGCCCGACACTGGTTATCCATGATATCTTTCCGTCAACCAATAAACCTTCGCTTCATCCAATCGTCTCAACAAAAATAGATGGTATAAACTGCAGGTCGAGCAAAGCAACACACTTTATTCC